TGTAAAAACTGTGATAAACCTGGCCTACTGACAAGACAGAAACGAGAGCAGAGGTGCACATAACTTTAAGACTGAGGCAAAGCTAATTTGTGCTACCAGATTATCAAGGATGCAGGTGAATAATAGGTTCCAGTTGTACCTGTTCAATCCGGTAACCTGTCTCCTTCTGCATCTGCTGGAGAGCAGCTTTAGCTGACTGCTCCTGGTGAACAAGTTTATCCCGCGACTCCTTGAGTTCTTTCAGCAGCTCGTTCACCTTCGCCTCCAACTGCAAAAACAGGAATAGACAGTGTAATCAACTAGTTGGGCAATTTTGAAGTCTGGGCCACACCTGGGATAACCTGCTACGCAGGGTGACAACTGAGACAGAATGTGGAATAACTACATTTAGACAGCGGTGTCAGGGCTTTCAACCCCTCTAGATACTTGTACTGTAAACATGGAAATACTCCATTAAAAAATAATGACGAATGACAGACGAGAGCCTCTTCTACCTGAAATATAATCTGTTAATCTGATTGTTTTATGGCACAGTCTTTATTTTCTTATTACATTTCTGAAAAGTAAACAAAATTATGAAATTATTTTGGATTTTTGCTGGACAAAAATGATCCAGGCATATACTGGATGCGTGTAATAATAAAATTACTCCTGTCTGTCTGCTAGGGCAGTGCTTAAACAAACCATGTTACCAAGAACATATTAACCAATTATTGTTGCTTCCATGGCAACAGCAACGCTTAACTGAGCCCGATGAATAGAAACGCACTTTATGTTTGTAGTTGTAGCTAGGTGGGTAAGCTTTGTAAGAAGCTTTTGTGGTGGGAGAAACCACAAAAAAGGCGGGATATTAAAAACTGCATAGAATTCACACAAATGATGATGTTCATGCCCATTGAATGTTGGCGATCAGTACACATCACCGGGCTGTTTTGTTTGACTCGCCTGTTTACCAGTTATACACAGCTGTACTCCAATTTTTAATCAAACTGATATGTGACAGTGAAGGGTACAACTACACAGGCTTGCTTCTCCCATTTTAAACAATACAAAACAGACTAATTATTTTCTTGAATGTACCCTTGTTCTCTAACTAGAAAGGCGCTCAGATATCCATCCCAGCAACTTAAAAGCATCAGGTGTGTCCATGGTTTTTGTATTTTGCTTAATGCACCAGGTCACATTCCATCACAAGTGCCAAAACCAGGGTTGAATTTGACAGATCAAAGCATTGCTGACCTCACAACTTTGCCATTTTCAATTGACTTTTAACAGACTCATACCACTGAAAAGCAAAACTCCACAGGATAACTTTGGTGAGGTTTGATCTGAATATCATTTTTGCCAAGTTTGGTAAAAACCACAAAAACATGTCCTTACAAAACATATACGCCAGCACTCCAGTGTGGTGCTTTGAACACAGCTTGACCCAACAAATCCAACAGGAAAAAATTGCATCTGGTTCAAAAGGTACTTTTATGAATGTCTGAATACTGATATGTCTGACAAGAAATCAGATTAAAAACACTGAAGTGGAAAATTTTCTCAGTGATGGAAAAATCATTTGGTTAATGTGCTTCCATTACCATTTTTTATAAGTCTCTTGGAAAAAGAACAAAACTTGATGACACATCCAAATAAATATGGCCTATTAGTTTGGAATATGCTTGACTTTGACCAAGTTTCCCCCCTCATTACTTGAGTTTATATCATAAACAGGGAATTCCATATAACCCTGAACAACATAAGAAAGCATAGGGGCACACTAACCTTTGTAATGGTGGCAAAGCGCTGCTTTTCTGTTTCTGTCCTCCTTTTGAGCTCATCTCTCATTTTGTCCTTCTCTGAACAGATACCCAGGATCAGCTCCTGATGTCTCTTGTTTTCCTCAAGCAACCTGTACAAACAAGAGAGCACGCACAATCTCAATTCAGGTCAAGCCCATATAAAGTAGTTTTTGAATCTCTAAAAGAATCTTGACTGCTGCTATTAAGGCCAAGAGGCATAGCGGGACAGGAAAAATCTGTGGATTATACTCTGTATTCATCACAAAAATTAATGCTTAGGTTTTGACATAATTATTCTCCTATGTCTGCTTTTTCAAAGTAAGAAAAAAAAACATTAAATGAGTAGACTGATCCCATTTAAAAGCCAAGTACAGTAAATATGGCACTTTCTAATGACCTGCGATATGAATATGTAGAAAATACCAACTTACTTCTGAATAGCCTTCTCCTGTTGTGCATATTTGTACTGCACACACTTCTCGAAGACTACCATGCATCCCTCCTGGTCCGTGGGGAGTCCATTGACAGGTGAGCTTCCTTTCCGCTCACTTCTATCGTCACCATGCGGCAGCTGACAAGCCAAGAGCTCAGACTCAAGCTCATCTAGCAGTGACTCTTGTGACAGTGACCGCTGGATCTGAGAAATAAGCTTTCGGCTGCAATCAGTGTCATAAGGACTTGCAGAAGAATTTGAGGGAAACAGGTTTTTGGCACTGGTTTGAGGGCTGGAAGCAAGTGAGGAGCTAAAGGTGTCAGCGATCGGGGTAGAAGGTCCATTAGAAATACTGGAGGTTGTTGTTGAGTCTTTGGGTGAGTTTTTGGAAGTGCTATGGACAGAGGAGGATGATGGACTCTCAGCTGAACTACTATCCTCAGCAGGTGATGGCTCAGTGGGGCAATTTGTAACCAAGAGCGATGGCTGTTCATTACCATTTGGAATGGTAGCATCAAAAGTCAATACGGTATCTTCTGTCCCTTCAAGAACAGAAGGAGAGTTTTCTACTACATCCACAGTAGGTACTGGGGCTACCAAAGTGCTACCACTCTCATTTGAAGGACTTTGTGGAGGCTTCCCACTTTCCACTAAAACCGTTCTGGTATCAACAGGCTCCTCTTTCACATCTGGATGTTCATGACTGCATGTTTGAGCTTCATGTTCCGTCTTTGTGTCCATCTCAGCAAGTGCTGTAGTCTTGACTGATTCACCGTCAAGCTGCAATTCATCTTTTGCCTGACTGCAGGTTTCCGCCTCCTGTGCACTGTTGAGAGAGATTTCTTCCTCCTCGTCTGCATTAGACGTGTTGACATTAAGGAGATTCATCTGGTGTGATGCCGTCGTCAAGGACTGAACCTCTGATCCTTCCATCATTTATGTATCTGAAGCAGGACTGAGGTGTACCCAGGTCCTCCTCTGACTCAAATCTGTGTGACAGAGAGAGAAAAAAAAAGACTGAATGGAAGCAGACCGAAACTATTTATTTGTTTTATTCACACCAACACAGCAGTTTTTCCGTGAACAACCTGAAATTCCTTTAAGTCACAGATACAGCGGTCCTGGATTACTATCATGTTTTCCCTTCCTTGTTAAGCTTAAAATTTCCTGATTGTAGTTTATTATGCAACCAAAAGGAAGCCTAAACTCAAAGAATTTCCCAACATACAGCCTCATTTGCTGCGACACACACAAAGGGGTGTGGACCTGGAAAAACCTGTGGTGAGATACAGCTTGAAGAGCATGGTACACACATAAGATAGGCATTTACGATTACTGCAAAGCCTGAACTTGCTTTCAAAATACAAGCATTCAGAAGTCCCACAATTAGAAACATCCTGTTTAATGAATTCATTCACTTTCACTTTTTATTACACTTCCAAGGGACTCGTGCATACTCTCCAGTCAACGTAAAGAATAAGAAATAAAACAGCAATGGCTGAGAAAAAGAAATTAAAGACAGTTTATAATTTAAGAAAATGTGTCTGCTAGCAGATTTGCTCTAAATGGTTTAAGGTTAGTAAACAAAGCCGTCCTATCGGAGTCTGAAGCCTTAAATTACAATTTTTTTTTTATTTAAATAGCGTTTTCTCAGCATTTACCGTGTTATTCATTACTATGATTATTAATAACTGGGATCCTTTAAGTTATTCTCCCTTTAACAATGTGTAATCGTGACGCCCCTTTTCTGTTTCATGTCCCGAAATCCTCCTCATTTGTCCCACCTCGTTCAATACCATCGTCTAGCACTGCTCTTATACCAACTAAGAGCAGTTTCTTTATGTTATTTACATTAATACATACAATCATTAAGCTCACCATTACCCTGCAGTCATAAATGTAAGGCTGCAGTTACAAAACGGCGTCTTCTGTTGACGCAGTAAAAGCGCAACAGCTTTAACAGATGCAATGCAGAAGATGCTCCAGTGACAGGTGCCATGCAATAACACAGGAGTTATTGTAATGTAGGCAGTCAGTCTTATTAAAACATACCGTTAAGTGTCCGAGCTTGCTGTAAGCAGCAGGCCGACGTCCCGCTTGTGTTTACTGCTGATTAATCTACATTTCGCTTCATTTAACGTTAGCAACACCTTTGATGGCTTTAGCTCGCTAGCTATTGATTTTGCCTTGACAGGGCTATGAAAACGAAAGGAAAAGAAAGACTGGCGTACGACATAGAACACCCTGTGAGTAAAATATAGCTACTAACAATAGGTTTAACGCTAAACTACAGACTGATAAACTGTAAGCGGGCAGTTAGCCTAGAAAGCTAAGCTACACTGATAAGCCTTGTGTTAGCTCGTACAATCCAATCATCTCATGCTTGACTTAGCGCAGCTAGCGCTAGCATCGAACATAAATATCAAAGAAAGCTTAATAAAGGCTGTTATAAGTTACCCACCGAGAAGGAAAACCCCATGGTGTGCTTCGATGTGGAGACAATCGGGGTAAAAATGAACTTTGAACCTCCCCTGCCTTACCAGCTGATCGCACAACAAGTCAGTCACTTTGATATGACACATCAACAAATATGGCCACTGCAAGAGAACCGATGAGACGATATAAACCAATGACAGCCCAGTGAGAAATGACGTTTGTCTGACGTAAATACAGGCTCCAGCCCATGGACAGCCCAGCCCTGACTACAGGTATCTACAACACCCACGTTTATTTTCTGGAAGAATTAATATTATGTTACACATTCAGAAAGAGCGCATATGAGCACAGTAAAACCCCAGTTCTGAAGATGTTGGGATGGTGTATAAAATGTAAATAAAAACTGAGTGCAGTGATTTGCAGATCTCATAAACCCATATTTTATTCACAGTAGAACAATCAACATATATTAAATGTTCAAATCTTAAAAATGTACCTTTTTAAAGGAATAAAAAGGTGATTTTGAATTTGATGGCATCAAAACTTCTTTTAACAAGAGCCCATAAACATTCGTTAACTAGGGGGATCAATTATTGGACTTATGGGAGATGAATGCTGTACGATTTGTGTCTGTCATCTTTGTTGTACATTTTCATTTCACTCCTTTCATGATACTGTTTTCAGCTGGTGAAAGACCTGGACTGGAGGCAGGCCACTTCAGTACCTGCACTCTTCTACTATGAAGCCATGCTGTTATAATGGTTGGAATATAAAGTCTAATGTTGTTGTGTTAAAACATATAAAGCCCTGAAAAATGGATGAGCATATGTTGTTCTAAAAGCTATATATATATAAATATATTTCAAAACTCATGGTGCCTTTCCACATGTACAAACTACCAACTCCATAGGCACTTAAGCACCCCCATACCATCAGAGGTGCATGCTTTTGAACTGAGTACTGATTTAGCCAAGAACATGTATGTTTTCCAAAAAGAATTTCAAATTTTGATTTGTCTGATGGCAGGACAGTTTTTTATTTTGCCTCAGTCCATTTTAAATTAGCTTTGACGGCACATAGAAGGTTTGCTCGTGCTTAAAGTAAAATAGGCTTTATGACACAAGAATGACACTTTTTACTGGCAAAGCATCCTAAGGAAATGTAAAGATACACAGACGATGGCTTTAGATTAGTCTTTAATGTAGATCGTTTTAAAAAAGTAAAAGATAAAATGTAAAAAAAAAAAAATAAATTGAAAATGAAAACAAACACTGGGCACACTGCTTTTAAACAAATGACTTGCACTGATGTAATGAAGTACTAAACAATGTGCTACTCCTGGTACTCAGTAAGTATGGCTTAGACAATATTTGATAATGTAATTGCTTGTATTGTAATTATTTGTATTGTAATTGTTTATAATGGTTGGCAAGTTGAATTCTGACCTCATCTGTCAGCCTGTCCATCACCACTGGAAACAAGAAGTTACTGGAAACAACAACAGTTCCTCTGCTTTGTCTAGATCCACAAAGACAGTTCAACTGCTATTGACTTTCTCTATACGGCTCCACCAACATCCTCAAATAAAACATCTCATCTTTAGTGCTTTTCTCAGCACTAAGCCACACAACCAAACTTCAACTCTTTCAGTTCTTTTCAATTCAATTCAGTTTTATTTATATAGCACTAAATTACAACAACAGCTTCCTCAGGGCACCCACAATGAAAACAGAGAAAACCCTAACAATGAAATGATGGCCTATAAGCAAGCACTTTGGGGACAGTGAGAAGGAAAAACTCAATTTAACAGGAAAAAAAACTCCATTAGAACCAGGCTCAGGCTGCAACCGGTTTGGGGTACTTTCTCAAATTTTCTTGAGAGATTTTCCAGAGGTTTTACTTTATTGATATTTTGCTATTCAGTCCAGTTACTTTTCCTATGTTTCCTCCTAACCTCTCAATAATAAGCCAACATATCGGCTTCAGTAATTGTTAACTAAACTTG